AAAAAGCAAAATTTTGTCTTGTTCTTTCAACTAAGTAAACAGTAACGCTTATGACTATGAAAGACATTCGATTTTCCAACGTAAACTCGCTGTTTTTTTATTCAAAACATTCCCTTGTGGTCACGTTTCAGATTTTTTTGCTTCGAAATATTCGAATTAGTTTGCTTTTTTTTTATCAATATCTTTTCCACAAAGGTCTAGTTTTCGCTTTTTCATATTTCTGCTCACATTAACAATAATGTTTTGTTTCTTCACGGTGTTGATTTGTGTTGTTTTTTTCATCCTGTTCGCACTGTTTACCTTTACTCTTCGACATTCATCATTGGCTCTTCTGTCAACTATGACAATTGGTTTACAGTAATCTAATTAACGCAAATGTCGATCGTTAACTCTTTGCTTGGAGAATCGCATTTATGACTATTAGCATACTTCTCTATCGTATCATTTTTTGTTCAGTCCAAACAGAAACTCGTGTATCTGATCATTTTTTGCTAGATGTTAAATCAAAATTATGCCTATGTTTGACAGAGATCCATTTATGACTACTGATTACTTTTGAATGTTCGAGAAGAATTGCAGTGGTTTTTATGTGAAGCATAATTGAAGAACTAATAATCAACGATATATCGTTGTGAGAAAGAAGAACTAAGAATAAATAAGTCGAACATCTGTACTGCTTGCACTATGTGCATTAATTTTCAACTATCTTGACAAGACGAAATAATCATTAACAGTGAAATTCTTTTTCACAAGTCTCATTCAAAACACGACAAAAAAAGATCGTAAAAGAACTGCTCCGATCAAAATTGAAGGTTCATACTAAATACTTTACTTCCTAGTGATGCTCGATTAATTATTCGAACTAACTTGCTTTTATTCTTGAATATAGAAAAAAAAAGATCAACAGAAGTATACACAAAAGAAATTCAAGAAAACACATCATTTTTAGCTGAAGTTGCAGGAAATGCTAGATTAAAAAAGTATCACTTCTCAGATTAAGCTGAGCGAAGTTTTGATGGACAGAGAGACTTTGCCAGTCCATACATTATTCGAGGCAATATGTGCATCCCATCAACTTTTTGATCACCGAAAGGTGTGTCGATCGACATCCATCGAGCCAGACTTTCATACCATCGCAATGGATGCATGGCAAAGTGGGCAGCATCATGGCTATGCACATTTGCATAACAGCTGGTAGCGACATTATTCACTAGAATTGTACCTACAAGGGCATAGAAAACATTATAAAAGCAGTAGTAAAGACGCAATTCCCTTACCTGCTCTTGTGAGTGGAGCGAAGAATCCTCTCTTCATCTCCCGTATCACTTGAATCACTGGTGAGGAGATTAGTTGACCATTCAACCATACACGTAGAACATCGCCTATTTTGATTTCTTTCGCCGGAATATACTTCAGAGTACCATCATTGGCCAGAAGAAGAATCAAATGTAGACCAGTCAGACTAATTTTGTGTTTAGAACTCGTCTCGATAGTGTAGAATAGAGCTAATATCGAAAAAAACATGACGCATGTTTGAGAATAGTACTGAAGAGGCTTACTCTGTGAAGATCGATCTTGATCGAGCATCATCATCAGTTGAGTGACCATAATTGTGGATCCATCGGTTGTTAGCAGTTCGTGACCAGATTTAAGATGTTCAATGGATATTTTGTTTCCATCGGCGAGTGTAACCACTGAGTCACTAGCGAAGCAACCGGATCCATCACTCGTTGATGCTGCAGCGCCTCCTGAGCCGGCTGCGGCTGCAGCTGCAGCTAAAATAGAGATGTTGTTAGACAGGTCGACTGAGGACTGAATTTCGATAAGTCAAAAAACACTCTACTGTCAGAAAGAGACCTGTATTTTCTTTTTCAATAAAATCTCAGATCAAACGGAGATCTCTCTTCCGGTCTCGATGATTCGCATACATTGACTTACATTTCTCAGAACTTTTCGAAACATCACTGTCGATTTTCGGTTTCGTGGAATCAAGGCTTAATGAATTTGCTTGACTGATAGCCAAAAGAAGAAAAATAGTAATGATGGCATGTTTCAGCATGATAATGAATAGCATTGCTTCCAGTAAAGGTAAATATGAATAAAATGATTCGAAATTTTTTTTTCAGTTAGTATTTATTCAGCAAGAGAGCGTAGGTAGATGAAAGTTGGAACAAACCAAATTCTGATTTCTCATAAGGAAGAATTCCTATGGAATCCTACAAAATTGATCCTTGGAAGCAATTGTAATGTAAACAATGAGTATGGGGTGGCAGCGTTTCTATGCAGAACGAAAAAAAGTGTTCTTTTTTCAATGATTGTCGAAGGCTTTCATTTTCATTTTCAAGAATATACGACTAAAAGAAATTCTGCAGCTACTTGTTTATTCTTCGAAGAGAAAGAAGCCAAATTAATAATGCAAACCGGCTAATTTCAAACAATCAATTCTAGTAGATGAATACGGATTTCAGACTCGATATCATGAAGATACTGTAGGGAGTAAATACGTTTTAATTCATCTGTGACTTTATGAACATGATTACATGGCTGCTTCACTCATCTAAAATCGATCATTCGGAGATAATTGTGCGAAGTCAATAAATGATAGCAGAGTCAACAGCCAATCTATCATTTTTATTATTATATCTCAAATTCTTTTTACATAAATGGCTTACAAGTAGATATCATACGAGATTTGCTTACAGCAGCATCTCAATGACAAAGACAAGATTAGAGTGTTTGAATAAAAGTGCCAAAACTGGAACTCGTTCACATGGAGAAAAGATGAGATTATGTCACATAATTTTTATTTACACTACTTAGATTAGAAAAAAATGAAAATATCGGCGTTGCTTACTGTGGATGTGGGTGCGGGTGATTCCTCTTCACACTCACACTCCTATAATAGAATGAGAACATATTTATATAACATCTAATTTGATATTTCTCAATTCTGTATATTTAATGAACAGCATCCATTGAGAATAATTCATAGACGATATGACGACTATTCACACCAATATCAATCAGTTTTCATGTTCATAAATATTAATTAAAATTCTTAAAAGAAAATACAATTAAATAACGATATAAATATGTATTTCAATAACATTTCATCACGAATTATTACAAATATGAATAATTCAATTACTATGAAAAAATAAATAATTCACAATCAACAACAACCGCTCTCCAAGACTTGGAAAATAATTCAAGCAAAAGAAGAAAAGAAACGAATTTTTATGGAATTACTAAATTTATTCGAAACTCTTGATTTCTAACACGATTTCGATAGTGAGGTTGAGGATGTTCTTCACTCATTGAAATCAAGTTTACACAGTCACTATCGAGGCTGTTTTGGAATTCAAAGAAATCCGGCAAATCTGAAAGTTCAATAGAATTCTATTCTTTTTCTTCTTTATCTTGATTTGCTTTAATTCCTTCTGCTATTTAATTTTGGTGGCACTTGAATTCCTTTATTATGTGAAATCCTATTAAATTGAGCATTTCTGGAGCGTGTACATATCTTGACAACAGTGTCTAATCAATGAGGGTGCGTGGGTGTGGGTATCCAGAACAGATGAAACACACACACATATTTACACCCTATTTCATCTGCTATAATGCTATAAAATGTTGTCATCTCTTCATACCTATCGTCAAAAAAATTTAATTATTTTTACAATCCATGATCTGAAGTTATGACTTACGAATCGGACTCAAGAGGACAGTAGTGTTTTCTCATCTACGTAATTCGACGAATCTTCTCTATTTGCCACCCAAGAATTTGACGAACATTGATTCTCATCGCTTCACTTGTGGTGATGATTCATCACTAATTTCAAAATACCGGCTTTATGACATTTACATGGATCGTGCTAACCGTCATGATGAAATATCACACCTTACGACCTATCTTCATGAAACTCCACTCCTTCTACGAAAGATAACATAGTATGAATCACAGTAAATTCATATAAACTTTCATAAAAGTAACATCAACAATTTCTTAGACCTATTAAAGAATCAGTGTTGTTCAATGAAGAGAGGTCGTGAAGAGCTTGATGATATTTTATTTTGCTCAGAAATATTTTCTCTATCAAATGAACTTGCTTGCAAAACGTTTTTTTTCTAAATAGAATTCAGAAAATTGGTTTCGCATTCTTGATTTTTATAGAGATCTTTCCTCTAAATCTGTCAATAGGACTTTGTTAACTACCTCTTTTGATGAGAAATGGTTTCAGCTAGTTAAATCTTTTTACATATAGTCTTTCTTGACAAATCCATGATTAATCAAACAATTAATTAAGACAACCCAATGAAAGTCACCAACTTATTCAAAACTCATTAGCACATAGGTCACATTGATCATATTCTACAACAGCTTGCTTGAAATTTTTCACTGTAAATTAATTTTGATACACATTGAATAATGATGAAATAGTTTCAATTTGACTCTGATAGAAATTCCTCAGAATAAATTATTATTCAATATTTCAAGATAATATAACATGCCGAGTAATCAATGATTAGAATGAATAGTCTCTTTCAATTTGTTTGTCAGCCATATCGAATTTGTAAGTATTTTTTTTTATCAAATTCGATTTGGATTACATTTCAAATATTTCTATAACGCAAGATTTAATCGAATAAAATTCAATATTGCATTGATCTGGAATAGAAAAACAGTTTTAAAAATGGTTCCTCATTTTCTTATTGTCATAATGCGAGCTTAAAAGACTTTATTGAGATATAAAAAAACAGAAGAAAACAAAGATAATGTTTAAATTAAGAATATTTACTAATAAAAAAATTTGAAAATATTTTATCTTATTTAATTTTCAATTAATTCATTAAAATTAACAAAAAAAGAAGATTTCAAGCCTCTGACAATTAGTCTTCAATTAAAATTTGCTTGAATATTCGAATAGAGTATGTTCAAATCGAATAAAAATTGTCTGTTTAAATTTGTTTCTATAAAACATACTACATTCTATATCTAATTATTTTACTAAAACTAATTTACCAGATTCAGTCGAGACACTTTCCGGAATGCCATCATGATCGATTTTTAACACAGTTCGAGATGATTTTCGTTGTTGAGTCAATAGATAAGATACTGAATAAATAATGGCATTGACTATATTAAATACAACATAAAGTAGAAAGAGACGCCGTTTTTTCATTCGTGTATAAATGAAGAAGGCGACAAGCATACCAATGCCACGACCTATATTATAATGAGAAAAAAAAAACGAAATGATTAACATTGAAGAGCCAATACAATACGGTACCTAAACCAAAACAAATACCGTAAACTATGCCTTGAAGTGTTCGAGAGAGATTCAATGGAGCTAGAAGTAAACATTGAATTAGTCGAAGAAATGAATATTCGAGAACATACTCATTGCAAGAGCTTCTTCAGCAATGAGAACATAGAGAATACCAAAATTAAAAAAAGTGCATTGTTTCCATTAATAAAAGAAAATACGATCGACGAATAAAATAATAACCAAAGAAGCGAATTCCAAATGCAACAAAGATAAGCATTGACGATTTTTTTCTACCTAAACGTTTAAGTAATTTGTGGGCAAGAAATAATGCCAAAAGTTCAGAAGTTGATGCTATCAATGATATATATCCGGCTATAGAACGAGATTCACATGAAGCAATTTCATCCATATATAACATCAAATACTAAAATATATTTGAACAGATAGCTGTTAAGTAAAAGTACACTTATAGTGATTAGAAATAGAATAAAGAATGAAACCAACGAGGGAACGCCTCCGAATATCAGATCACTTTTTGCTCGAGACTGTTTTCAAACTACCGACCACAGTGAATAGTATCAAAGTCTAAGAGTGTACTTTTCTCAGAGCCTTTATTCAAGACAACGAATATTTCGTCAATCTTGATATTCTATACTTAGACATTCTAATGACGTCTTTCTGTTCGAAGATTTACTCATCAAAGAGTAAAAGTAGGACTTTTTCAACTAAGAAATCTCGATAATTGCAATGATTATGATTCGTTATAATTTTTGAGTTAATTTAAAAAAAAACACTTGAGTAAACTCTTAATCTATTTTACGTGTTTGATCATGTTGAAGAAAATAAAATATCGAATACTTACTGGATCAAGAGCACCCAAAGATGTTCTCCCAAAAAATGCCGTCAAAAGGAACACAATCACATCAATATTCTTGAATAATGGAAAAAGTGCAAAAATCTTCGACAAATCTTTTTTTGTTTTCATTTTCTTCATTTTGATTTTTTATCGACGGAAAATTCATTTAATTTTTCTCTAACATATGTGTCATCATTAGTTCGTTCACTTTGTTCACATTTATCAGATCGAATGTGAATAAAACTTGTACCGATTATACTAAGAAAACTACAAACAATGAATCTGATAGTACCCCAAACACGTTGTCGACCAAATAGATTTGAACGATGTAACGTAGAAAAAGCAACTGTAGATATAGAATTTGGTCAGAATAACGTGATCCATAACAAAGATGATCTATTGAACATTTTATATCACACGTAGTCAATATGGAATGTTTGCTCGATGACCATAAACCACTATTGTCAAATAGATCTGATAAGAAATTTAAACAAAGGCGTATGTTTTACAAAAGACAATAATGTTATGATGTTTTAAAGCAGTATACATAGAGTTTGTCTTCCACTCATTGTAATAAATACATTGGCTTTTTCTTCTTTTTTTATAAAAATCAAACCGCTCTACAAGCAGCTCTAGTAGAAAAGTAGTGAATCTCTCGTACAACAATAGCCAATAATGAATTGTTGAAGAAACCAGGTCAGTGATGCACTGAGTGTCGACGATCAAAAGATTACATTAAAACGTATACCCATCTTGATACTCACACATTCACACTCAGAACTTTGATGAGAATTCATTTAATTTAGCAAAAAATTAAATATGCTTTCACCCAAGGACAAACTAACTATCAGAAAGTTTTTGTTTTTGAATTTACAATCATTTATACAACAATGTTTTTTGTTCGTTCTAGTCAATGTTACTCAACACAGTCATCTGTCTGTTAATGATTTCGAAACATTATATCTGAGTTTGATTTGATGAAAGTAACTAGAAATATCTGTACTTATAAAGATAGATCCATAATTAGTAAGAAAATAATCGGTACAAATATATTTTAAGTTTTCTCAAGGAAAAAGCAATAGGTCACTATTGTTAAAATTTGTATATGTAAACAGTATCAAAATAAAATCGAATATTACTATAAAAGTGTAAACATTTTTCGTATTTTCTTCTTGTAAAGTAAAACTCGTTTGCGAATCAGACGTTTTTCGTTCATGAACGACACTTCACAATCTACCAACTTCTCTTTTGTATTTCACATTGAAATCATCATTTTTTTTTATGTTAAAATTAGACAAAGACGCTGTTAATATTCGATCACAGACTGTATGTTGATAATATCTCGTTACAATATACAAACAACTTCCTTATTACATCTCTGGAGGGTTAAAGAACAAAACGATGAAGAAATATATCCCAATATATATCGAATAAAACAATCTTCCTGTGATCAACAACAGCAGCTACATTTTAATCTCAAAAGGATTGTGCTAATAGAGCTGGTTTTCTACATGAAAAAATTCACTAAAAACCTTTTTCATTTTCAATTCTAACACAGACGATATCTTGTACAACTCTAATTGATTAATTTGCCTATTTAATAATTTGTAAAGAAGAAAATATCTAATAATTGTTTACACTATAGTATAGAAATTTGTAAAACATTTGAAGTCCTCTCAAATTCGATAGTTTTCATGTCGTTGGCATTTAAAAACAAAATCTTTTGAATTTTAAAAAGAGTCTTTCGTGATTAGATGGAAAAATTATAGAATTTCAGTCTAAAGACTATTGAAGATATTAAAAATACCAGCAAACACTCACATCGAAGAGAAACAAAAAGCAAAATAAAATCTTTAAATTGGAATATTCTGCTAGTTGATGAACAGACTTAAATCTATGTAAAATACTGTTCATTACCTCTAGTTTCATTGTTTGTATATTTATTGATTGATACATGATAATCGATGGCACATGTCCAAAGTTTATTACTGCGTATAGATATATTTTTATGTTGTTTGTCTACAAACATTGAATTCATAGTAAAATTGAAATGAAATGTTTTGACTGGTATATTCTTTTTGAAATAATTTTTTTTCCATTGTTAGCGATGTACAATAGGCTTGATAAGTACATCCACATCGAGTTCTTAATGCACATTTAGTAGAAAATTCTTTATTTGAACAAAATGTCAACGAATATTTCATATTATCAATTTGATCAATTTCATATTGGATTAAATTTGATTTCAAAATTGGTAAAAAAAAACATAGTACCAAAAATAATAGTTGCCAAACACAAAATAACATTGAACGTAAGACGATAATGACGTACATGATCTGTGAAAAATGCTAATAATGGATTAGTAAAGAAGATCAAAAATGGAATAATTAAATTAATACATGATATTTCTATATTTGACAGACCACGACTTCGAAGAGTTATATTCAACATTGGACCAATTGCAGCAAAACTTGAGTAGGTTAGAAAATAATAAGCTTTAAGAAAAAGATAATAACGATATACACATGATAAGTATTTAGTTTGATCCATAATAATACCATCAAATTTTAATTTCAACATATTTTATGATGTTGTAGAAAATGTCAAAGTCGGACAAAAATGATTTTATAAAATTATCTAAAAACCAATAAAAAACGGCAAAAACAGATTTTACATTTAGAATTTGTGTATTATTGCAACTAAATTTCAACAAGCGAATCACAAAGCATAAATTCCAATAAACAGAAGAAGTTTTGACATCATTATTACCTTTATTCTACGAATTATGATAAAAAAAATATCCGTATGAACCTTAACAAACTCATATACAGTATATAAAACTCATACATCTTGTTCAGCTATATTAAACTGATAGAAAGTACGTAACGGGAGCAATCTGCAATATGTGATGATTACTCTTCAGTATCAGTTAACCGTCAGTAAAACGTTCGATCTTATTGATTTCTACAGTGAAGATGCGATTTTGTTTTATTAGTTTTTGTTTGTAAGTGTTTGTCTATTCTTTGTTGCTTTGATTTCCTTTTGTGCACCATTTTAATCAAACCTCAAAGATTGCTACAGGCTTATGATGAAAGTTAGAATGAAATGACTTCATAGTTTTATATACCAGTTGCATCTATTATAGAATTATTTATAAGCACATCCACGTTAGACCCGAATCAGTTGCCAGTTCTACGAACCGAAAGAGTTGAATCAGAACTACTGATGAACACGTCTTTTTTTTTCAAGAACTAATTTAATTGACCAGTTTTTGTCATATGAATTTACCTATTGATTACCTGATTTTCTCATAATTATAAGTTTCTAACAGTTACATTTATTCACGTTTATGGTATTCAACTATGTCGCCCGAAAGGAAAAATAAATAAGATGTTTATCGACATCAGCTCATTTCACAAGAACTGGTCGGTTCATACTATTTTCATTACTAGAACGAGAGTTGTCATATGACTATGTAAAAGTAAAATAAATTCACTTTTTAGCATATGCAAAAACATTTTATGACCAATAAAAGTTTAAAATATACTTTGAAGAGAGTTCAAAAAGTTCTAAAATGTTTTCAGATTGAGTTACATTATCAACTGACATGTCTTTTTTTTATCACTATGAGATCTAAGGAATTGTGTGCTCATTGATCTCAATTTCTAGAAAACTGTTTATCGATTTTAGATTTTATCTGTAACTTTTCACATCGATTATTGGAGTCAGGAGGAGATCTGAAAATCCTTAATTTAAACTTACACTCCTTGTTGTTCTTTGGATGCACATGGACTGCGTTAAATGTTATATCATGTCAAGATTGATACACAAAAAAAAACGCACTTAATGCTGTTCTTGAAATCAATAATTGTCATTGGAACACCAAATGTTTTATGGCTATTTTAATTACCTTTAAGTAGAGTTTTGATTCAGTGCTCTCTTGACAAAGAAGTTCCAAATAGTTGCAGAAGTCATAATGAATTGCAATTTAATATGACATGTGCGGCAGAGTGTCAACCTATTTAAAAAAAAAGCGTAAACTTACCTTTTCATTTGGGTCAGATATCCATAGATGTTCTTTTGTCTTTTTTTTCTTATCTGTTTTAGTTGCCCATCTGTAAAACCGCAAACATCTCGAAAAGAAATATACCTTAGATCTATTTTTATAGGTATATACAACGTCATGAGCTGTATCCATATACATCTATGAAGATAAGTTTTGGACGAATCCGAAAGTCAATTCGAATGATGGAAGTCAAACATTTTCTACAAACACTAGACCAATGACAATAAACATCTAATTGTATGAATATTAACCCAAAATTGGTACCACTTTTTCAAAAATATGTTGAAAAATATTTGCCACCGTTTGATTCACCGCACGTTGACATACATAGTCGTTTACGAACGGCAGCTTTTCGAGAAGATCTCTTTGGAAATGTCGTACACAACGTGTTTAAGCTGTTCGTATCAAGTAAAATAGATTTAAAAAATGACCCAAATCAGATCATTCAGTCTTGATTTGTTTCATGATGGTAATGCTTATGATTTATTTATTATGTCGAGTTTTTGCCGATATGACACTATTTCTTCGTCTACCTTACTTTTCTCGCCCTGAGGAGGAACACTAAAGACAATGATAATAGATTGTGATTTGGGAGTAAACTAGTAGTAATTATTAATAGCTAAAACACATTCTTGACTTGTTTCAAATGACAATATATGAGGTTTAGGTAGAAGTCTATAAAAAGGCACTAACTAGCGCACGACAGAAATAGTGTGAGATGTGGGTGGGCAATAGTTTTGGGCATAGATGAATGTAGGTGTTGGTGTACATGAGCAAAGAACCCAAACTCACATTTATTATCACATCCCTCGCTCACATTCACAGTCACCCTATGCACGACCATAATTGCTGTTTCTTTATTGATTTTATTTATTAGTTTCGGCCGATATGTTTTACATAGAAATTGAAAGGTATCGCTGATTGTAGCCTCTCGTATATGTACAATTGTTAAAGAAATAATTAATGGTGTATTGTTATTCATGAATTGCTCGAATTTGAAGCGTTTCTTATTATATTTTCAAAACAAAAATAGAAAAAAAAATGAATCATAAATTTTATAAAATTAGTTCTTTTAATTCCTTTGTAATATAATAACACAAAACTAAATGATCAAAAAGAAAATTAGTCAATTCGTCTTTTAGTTTGACATACGTTACACTAAGTTTTTTTATTTCGCTGAAGCAGCGGTCAAATGATTATTTTTCCGAATTTCATTTACTCATTTTGCAGAAATCAACTAAATATCATCGTTTTGTTTTTCGACAGACAAAAAAAGATAATTTTGAAGAACAAATAATCTGATTCTCATTTCATCTACTGTTTACCTTTCCTTAGTGTTCCAAAAAATAAGCCGAATGAATGCTCATATTTAACTATATTTTAATACAATTGTTGTCTCTTTTGAATTAAACGAATAAAAATAAATGAAGTAAAGTTTAAATACGTCAACACTGATTTGTTGATAACTTTTCGTAATTTCAATTTGATTAAAACTTCTTATACTTCAATTTCAATGAATCGTGAAGTTAGTGTTTTTAATTGACGTAAGTAAATTTCTTGTTTGCATATTTGCTCATGACTTTCGTATTCTTCATGTAGTAGATTTGAATTCAAATTCAATTTGATTAGTGCATCATCTTAGTTAACTAATTAAATTAGAAAATATGTATTTAGTTTTGAAAGTTACAAAAAACTGAGATATTTTCGTATTCTCGAAATCTATTAGGCATTGTATCAATGTCTTGTTCATTATCTTTTCCATGTTTAATTAATACATGGGGCAACATATGTTTTTATTGATCTTTTCAGACTTTTGCTACAGTGATTGATTTTATTGTTCATTTGATCCACATTGAAGCTACACCTACCTACTATGATAGAATTGATGACAGAAAATATCATTTACTGAGAAGATGGAACTATCAGCACGCTTCTGAAAAGTAATTTATGTCTATCTCAACGATAACATTCATGAATCGTGAATAGAAAAAGATGAGCCTATATTTTGTGCTCGTCAATCACCAGACTTAATACCACTAGAAACTGAGAGCGAGTTTATAGAGCGACGATTTCAAGTATTGATTAGACAGACATCATCAGATATATGCAGAAGGTGAACGTGTAAAGAGAATGAGATAACCTTATCTTCAAGATACTGTACTTTCATTTGCTAAAAGATGGTTGAGATAGAAAACTATCAGCACATCTAAACGAGCTATTTAGGCTTATACTGACAAATGCTGACTTCTCCATGACATGTTGTTCGGTTGAGCTACCTATTCGATATTTGTAGCTTTTATTAAGCAATCAGTTCTATTCAATAGTCCTGAATAAGTCGAATCGTCTGGTACGGTTGAAATGATACCATAGTTCGATCCTATACGTTTTAGACGCTGTAGAAATGTGTTCTTCATTTTTAAAACAGTAATCAATTTTCCTCTTTCGAGTCTTTGATTGCATTTACGTCTAAAATATCATCTACCTGTCAAATCTCTTTAAAGAAATCACATCTCTTTTTTTTTCCATTCGTAACAAGCAGAAAAACTGATCCTTTTTCAAGTCAGTCGTTTGACAGATGTCAGCGATACTATGTCATCATCAAAACAAAATTCATTCTGTGTTCTGCTTGTGCGTAATTCATTCCTGTTTTAGAAGAGATGTAATAAAGAAAAAATACAATCGATAAGATTGTATTGGGTTTCAGCATCCACAATATCACGACAACAACGTAAATATTTGATCAAGATAAAAAGTCAAAAGGTAAATCCAACTTGAATAAAATACCTCGTGTGAGTAGTTATATATGTTTCGAATATTTTCTTTCATGTATTAGAGAGAGAGGGTTATTCCTGCGTAGAGGATATCGCTACATCATGTCTGCTGATACAACACTTGATGATCTTATCTCAGTGACACGCAATGACGATCTTACCAATTCTATAACCGAGTTTATCAAAAAAAATGGTGCTGAAGGCTTGAGAACTTTTACTCAAGAGCGACTTGATCAATGGAGACAATGTTCATTGAATATAGCTGTTACAGGAAATAGTGGTGTCGGTAAATCTACATTAATTAATACAATTCGCTCTCTTCGACCATATGATCCTGGTGCATCCCCTGTCAATGTTGTTGAATGTACATCCGTACCAAAAGCTTATTCACATCCAGCAAATGAAAATTTGAAAATTTGGGATTTACCAGGTTTCGATATTGATCGAAAAAAAGAAGACGTAATTTGTTTTTATTATTTGACTTTTCTAGGTGTTGGTACGAAGAAGTGTCCAAAACAAACCTATGTAGCTGAGATGAATTTTCATCAATATGATTTTTTTCTTATTGTTAGTCGAACACGTTTTACTGAAAATGATATGTGGCTTGCAAGAGAAATCAGCAGGATGAATAAAGGCTTTTTCTTTATACGTACACAAATCGATATCGATATCGATAATAGTCAAGATGAACAAGCAACATCATTCAATGAAGAAATTCTTTTGACAAAAATTAGAAATGATTGTTTAACTTATCTAGAAACACAATATAATCTCTCACCCTCACTTTATTTAATTAGTGGTAGATTAAATAACAATCAACGATGGGACTATCCTCGATTAATGACTGATTTATTGACACATTTTCCACTCTTGAAACGGCATGCTTTCATTCTTGCTATGAGTCCTATTTGCAAAGATGTTGTTCGAACTAAGATAGTTCATCTAAGAAAACGCATATGTCTTGTAGCAATAGCATCAGCTGCTGTAGCGATTATACCAGCTCCATTTGTGTCAATTGGCTTTGATTTAACAGCCTGTATACAAGAAACAAAAGTCTATCGACAGCAATTAGGTCTTACGGAAGACGCACTACGTCAGTTGAGTGAACGTCATCACATACCATTTGAACGATTTTCCGATGCAATAGATGATAGAATTCCTATTCAAGCAATGGCAAGTATTGCTCAATTCGTTATATCCGTTGCAAGATCAGTTGCCGAGTCACTCGTAAAACAAGAAGGTGCACGATATATTCCAATTGTTGGATCAGCTATTGCAAGTGCAGCATCGTTTGGTAGTACTCTATATATATTAAATAGTATCTTGAATGATATGGAACAGGCAGCATTACAAGTACAAGAGATTATTGTACAATCTAGCGCTAACTTCAACTGAATTGACTTGAAAGATATTTAACATGTTTGCAAAGTGTTTGTTTGTTTTTTTTTATTTGTAGATAGAAGATGACTTTTACACGATGGTCTTCATTGAGAATGATAAAAGACGTAGAGAAAACTAACACGGAAAGTTTATCAGTCATGGAAACTGATTCATCAAAGAATCTCATTAACATATCAATTCTTAGTACCAGTTCAAATGCAGGAAAATCCATGTTGATTCGTCTTCTACATCAAACAGGATTTATTGAATCTATGAAATTCTTTTCAACGGATGAATGCACACTTGTCAACAATAAATCGGTTATTTTACGAAGAATCTCATCGAAAAAAGGTAGATAAAATTCTTTTTCCATGTAGAACGAATTAACATCAGTTTTTTTTCGTACATATCAATATAAAGATGCAGATGCTAAAGAATGGATTATCAAAAGTGATATTGTACTTCTTGTTGTTCGGGAATCATCAACAGCCAATGATCGTACTATAGCTTCTCTTCGACATGCATCAGAGAAAAAAACCTTATTTATTGTTCGAACTCATATTGATGAAATTGTTAATGTTACTCAACGATATTCTCAATCAACTTCCAACGAAGAACAAACAATAAAGAACGAACAAGAATTTCTTTGGTCTCAATATAAAGAATTTTTAACGTGCGAAAATGATATTTACTTAATTGGTAGTCATTTGAATCATAAGGATAAATGGGATTTTGAAAGATTAAAGAATGATTTAATGAGTAAATGCCAAATTACTGAACAAAAACAGATTGATCAGCCAATTACAGAAGCAGGTGAGTGATTCTTTTCTCTCATATATGCAGTTCAAGAAAAAAAGTTGTATTATCCATTTCTCTTGCGTAAATAATGTATCTAGGTTTACTTCAAATGATGATCTACATGTGATGTGAGTGTCGCTAAAAATTTTGACTAAAAACCAAGGCCTATTATTGAGTCATAAATGTCTGCTTATTCGGATAATTGATAACTAGATGTTCTTTTCTATCGACATATTTTACACATGTATGACTGAAGATTCACGCAGAAAATTTGTTGATGACATCAGTTCAAGAAACAAAAAAAGATTTGAATTTTTTTTCCACTAAAACTTACTTTATATTTAAGTTGTGATAGGTCATGCTGAAGTTCTTCATATTGGTGTATTATCAGCTAATCCAATATTACCAGTCAATTTGCAGCCACAAGATCAAATGAATGAAATATATTTCGATAAAGAAAAGAAATTATTCGTTGAATATTTCGACAAGCATGGTTTAGATGAAATCGAGCAATATTTTATTTCTCGTTTACGAGAATGGGAACTATTGTCTCTTCATATTGCTGTGACTGGAAACAGTGGGGTTGGAAAATCAAGTTTTATTAATGCAATACGAGGAGTAACACCTAATAGTCCAGATGCTGCTAAAACAGGTGTTACAGAGTGTACTCGTGAACCTCAAGCTTTTCTACTTTCTATACATCAAAATTTAACATTTTGGGATTTACCAGGTACAGTAGATATTTTATAATGAAAAGAGATTAGTTTACATGTTATGACGAAGGTTGTTGATGAAACATGATTTGATAAGAAGTATTAAAGTATATAGGGAGAACTTTAGATTTCACACAAACGGCGATCGAACACATTAAATAATGTTTACTATTCTCAATTCATGTGCGTCTGCAGGATTTATCGTCTGCTAAGACAGGTATTCAGTTTTTAGAAATGAGAAGATTCCGAGACAGTACCTTATAGTTACTGAGACTTAAAGAAATAATTTTCATAATTGATATCTTGTTTTGATCAATAATCAGAAAAATTTCATCGATAGGTTGTGGAACACCAAATTATCCTCGTGAAAATTATCTTAAATACATTAATTTTGAACAATTTGACGTTGTAATTATTATATGTAGTGGACGTTTTACTGAAGATGATGGTTGGCTAGCTGAAGAGATGACTCAAATGAACAAACCTTTCTTTTTTCTTCGAAGTAAAATCGATCAAGAAATTACCAATGCTCAACGTGATTCTCCTTCACCATTTGACGAACATGCTGTATTAACAATAATTAAAAATGATTGTGTACAACACTTACGCCAATATTCACATCATCGCAAAGTTTATTTAGTTAGTGGCAATCAGAAATACTTACATCGATGGGATATGAATGATTTTATGCATGATCTTTGTCAAGCATGTCCACAATTGAAACGTGAATCTCTTGTCTTTTCAATGAATGCTCATTGTCGAGAAGCTGTACGAGTAAAAGTTGAATATCTTCGAAAACGACAATGGCTTATATGTAGTGCTATTGCTGCAGCTGCTATTCTACCTGTTCCTGGTTTTTCCATGAGTATTAATCTTTTAGCTTGTTTGACAGAAGCGAAAGAATATCGTCAACAGTTGGGTCTACATAATGAAGCCGTCGAACGTTTAGCTATATTGAGAGAAACTTCATCAGAATACATTCGACGGACAATCAATTCAGTTTTGCCTCTTCTGGATGATGAAACTTTTGAAACACTATTCAAAACCAAATTATTAACTCTTAATGCTGCCATCGGCCATTGTATACCTGTAGTAGGTTGTGTTCTTTCAGTACAAGCAGTGATAGAAACACTGGATTATTTTCTTAAAATGATGGAAAAAGTTGCTTTAACTGTGACTGATATTCACTTTGGTGACATTTCGTCATTACCTCCAGTGACTACGATAGAATATTCTGATCCTCAAATAATTTCATAAATATAGTGACAAGATAAATTTTGAATCTATTTATCAGTGAAAAATATATTCAATGAATGATTTTAATCAATATCTATGCTCAGTTCTTCGAGATTTAGATCGACTATTTATGTTGCCTATGAAGTTTTTTCCATCTGAGAAACAATACTTTGCTTATTGTCTGCAGATATTAACAATTCATAGTAAGGGCGTGGATGTGGTTCTTCTCAACACATCCACACTCTGATATGCATATTCAAGGAAATGTTCAACAATGTTCACTATACAGAGATATTTCTCTCTTATGTATGTACGAGAATATGAATGAATGTGAGTAGAAAAAAAAAACAAGGTGCAACTTAAAAAGATTTCTCTGATTGATGCAAGTCACAAGAAGCAATTGATTTCGAATAAAAGTCCCTCGGTATCAATTTATAACGTTTATATTATAGAAGTATTTATCATGGAACGTTTTGTTGTAGATAAAAGATTGATGAATTGAACAGTGGTGACACATTGAAAAATATATACATGAAAAGAAAATAATATTTAGAACGAATCTGATTTTTGTTCAAGACCGTCATGAATGAATCTGACAGACGAAAATGTTGCTGGCAGTATTACGATTAAGAGAGAGCCAACATTGACTGAGTGATAAAGATATAGTATGAAAAGCCCGTTCAGCCTCATTTGAATTAACTGAAATTGAAAAAAAAGGCGGTAAACAAATAATGGTAAATATGAGAGTTTGTGTTGATAATGTCTCCAAAGCGGTAATGGATTGGATTGTTTAGAAGTATCTTTAAGACTCATTCTCAAGTATTTATCTAATTCATCATATTTGAGCGCCATCCTTGAAAATTAACTCAGCTGCATCTATTTTCTGGAAAGGGTGAGGATGAGGATATGGATGTGACGTCAATGTGGGTGAAATGAAGAACTATACCAACACTTACACTCATCGATTGATATTCATGCAAAAGTTGTTCCACGTACAATTCACAATTATTCGGAATCATGATTCATGACAATGATCATGTTGGTCGGAACAAAGCTCAATTTAAGATAGAACTTGATCAATTATTTCACTGAGAAGAGAAATATTTCTCAACAGTTTATCGATCGATGCTCAATTATCAGTTGCAATGCACGATAAAAATGGCAAAGGCTTTTTCCTTTTTTTCTCGAATTGAGAATACGCAGCTAATATGCACATCTTATTTATTGAAAATGACAATCATTGAGAGAGAAAAAGTTTCGTGTAATCAGCATAACGTGTTTCAATCTCTTCACATGTTAAAGCAAAATCTGTTTGGAAATATGAATGATGGCCTTGTTTTCCTTGAGGATTTTCTGTAAGCCACTTTTGCATTGCTGTTTCAAATTTCGTCGACCAATCAAGACCAAAATAATCGTATATTCTATGAACAACATCAATAGGATTGTTCATCAAATTATCATAAGTCATATTGAAAAGAACTTTTCGTGTTGAATCAACTTTTTGCTTTTGACTTTCATGAAACTTCATAATACAATAGACCATTCGATCAGTTAATTGACAATATCGTTTTGTAATTTGATCTCGACTATTTTCATTTGTTTGTTAAAAAGTCTATTGAGCTATTATTCATGATAAGCTACAGGTCGAAGGAAGGGTTTGGTCGACATGTCGATGAGTCATGATGAAGAATGCATTAGGATAGTGACGAAGAAACGTATCGAAATGTAAACAATGCATCGGCGATTTCAATAACCAATGTGATGATGGCATATCGACCTAATTTAACATACGCAAAAAGGTTTCATGATAATCACAAGCATAGTGTTTGCTCATCTCGTTCTGCAGCCAGGTGTCTGAATCGCTTTCGTTGTCAATACCAATGTAAGTGACGAAGGGTAAATAGCTCGTATGACGTAAAATAAGATAGTCTTCTTCAATCGGAAGAAATGGATGAGCTTCAGCCATTTGACTTTGATAGTCAGCGAAATGTTTGATTTCTTTTGTAGACGAGAGCATTGTATTTACTCGTTGTTGTTGTTGAATAGAATCGGATATGACAATCGATGGTACAATATCAATACATATATACGTGTACAGTGGTGTCCGACAATTCGTATCAAAGGCTAGTAAATTGTAGAGTAATGTTGTACTAGTTCTTGGTAAGCCAAGTACTACCAAACGACCCTTGATTGGTAAACTTTGACCAAGAATCGACATGTTTTCAGCTATATAGTTCAGAACTCGTTTACAGTCTGTATGCAATTTGTCGATCTCTGCTAGAGCTAAATGTCGGCTAAACTCGGTGATAGATTCATCATGAAGTAGGCATTGACGATAGGAATCAAAATCACGCAAAATATCATTGTAGAAACCGAATTGGCTCTTGGCCTGTTCTCTTAGATTTGTTTTATCTTGAACATTATGTTTCGACGTTGTTCCATAATCAACAACGGTTTCATTATTGGTCACACTCATGAAAGAAAATCGTTTTCTAAACAAGAACACTTAGGTAACAATGTTCTGCAGGTAATCATAGAGTAGACGTTTGACACATTGTGATATACCTCTAGTATATGATAAGATAATTTTATACGACTGAAATACTTTATCTCTTCAAATCTAGAAGCGCTCGTTTTCGAGATTCTCTGTTGTCCTATGTTAGCGTGCTTGAGTTTGTTCTATACAACACTGAATATCATCAAAAAAGCAATATCAGTGTCAATAAAAAACCGTGTGATACTTGAATGTACTTTTTTCATTCGAATGTGATGCTAATAAAATAAAATGAGATCGGTTTTGACAATAGTATATTCATCGTTTAATGAGACAAGGCTAATTTGTTAATAATTTTTTGTTCATTCATCGTTTCAATGAAAAGTGGCATGATAACATTGAAATTATATGATATGTCGAAGCAGCATTGCTTCAAAAGAACTTCAGAATTATAGATTCATTACTAAAATTGAAAGTTCATACTCAATGTTAAATGTTAACTTGATAAGTGTGTGTAGGCATGGATGTTGGTGTCGTTGTTAATTGCACCCATATTAAAGCGACACACAAGCACTCGCTCAAAACTGGGAACAGATGCTCGTTAAAGACGGCTATGATGATCTCTTTTTAGTTCAGAATCGATAAGAAAACAATTTCATGTACTTAAGAAAATTGAAGAATATAATCTGAGCTAATCAATATTCTTCGTCCATAGAAACAGATACGTGTGTGGAACTTTATTAAGCGAACCCGAGCGCATTCTATCATTTCAAAACCGATTTGTAATCGACAGAAACGCATCAGGTCATTTGGAGAACAATCCAAGACATATACTTGCTTTCTGAGAATCAAAAACAGGATCGTCTTGAGTGCATTCATTAATTAGAAGAAATCATCCTTAGATATTTTTTTAGGGAATATCAAAGAAACTAGTCTCATTTAAATATAATCTTATGCTGACCGTTTCAAGAAGGTAGAAAGATGAATCATTCCAATAGTTATTGAAGGAAATCGAAAAGCATTATATTCACATGAAGGGATATTCAAAATGAAAGCATTTCATCATAGCTTGTCGATTTAGAATACATTCACAAACTATAAAGCACGTTCATCATGAACACGATAGCTTTTCATGATTTGATGCATGTATTCACTTCGATATTTCACTATAAATATTTTTCACTGAAAAATACTTACTGTTTAATCTGTTGCTTGAAATAAGCCAAATAATGAAATGGAATTTGTTTTTTTTAAATAATTACTCATGATTGATGTTTTCACTGGATTCAAAATTAAAAAGTAGGTGCTCGATTAGTGCTCGTTGACTCACAACTAACTTCCAAAATCAAATATCCATGGTTATAAACGGCTATTATGCGATGCCTGTGTATAAGATAAGCGTGTGCAGATTAAGCCTATAAGAAACATATATCTGAAACGGCGATTATAAAAATACAAAATTTAAGAAGATTAATATTTTATATGCAGGTGAAACTGGCACAAGCGTAAACCACCTTATATGGAGAAAGACGACGATTTACACGGATCCATTTTAGGCTTGTGTATCTCCGTGTCGTTTATGGAGAAACATGTTGATTCAAGGAGAGAAAAAACGATCGCTTCATACGTAATATACCATAGACGACTTTCTATTGTGAGTCTTAATTCACAATATGTTTATTTGAATTGAAGAGCTTTTGATTAATAGTTATGCAGTTGCTAATTGAGATTGTATGGTGGCATGTATTATGTTAACTTTTTTGTAAATAAGTAAGTAGATATGGACAGCGGATGTACTCAGTATAGATGTGGTTCAGAGTTTACCAGTGTGTATGAGTCTTTGAGTTAGAATCCATCAGGTTGAACAATTTTTAGATCCGTACCCAGATCTGATTATGAAGCGATTTAAGGCACCGACCTACATTTAACAAAATGTCAGGTTCGGAACCGATAAGTAGACGAATCCACTGAAAATCTCAAGACTCTAATTCAGACTCATTCTTAATAAAGCTTTATGGTTCGATTCAAGGTGTAAACAGAGGATTCGTTAGTCTGTTGAGTGAACGACAAAAACTTACAGAATGTTAAACACACACGTTCATATCTCAAGAGCAAAGCAGTCGAGCCAATCTAATACAAGAAATTTTATACTTGGATCCGAGCATGGAGGCAGTTGGGTACGATTCCCATTCAAGTTTGCGACGGATCCCATGGACCCTAGTGTGAGTGAGGGCGCGAAGGTGACTATGGGCATCCGTGTGGGCATGTGAACAAGTAGTTATGGTTGTGGATGGAGTTGTGCACCCTTGGGTATCGATGGATGTCATCTTTTCATTAAAATCCACATACACACTCATAATTCTATTGTCAAATGCCTAATGGAAGCTATTTTTTCTTTAGTATCCAGTAATTTTGTACTGATAGATCATTGAACATTTGCTATGAATTGTTCTAGTGGTTTTTTTTCTTTTGAATTGAATAAATAGATTCATATCTGATTTGCTATTTTACGGATCTTTTTGAATGACTAATTTTAGTCCTTAAGAAAATCAATCATGTTCTATTTTAATATTTTAATATTTTCCTTCTTTTTTGATAAAAACATTCATATCTATTTTGCAGATATTCATCATTTTTACTACTCTCTTAATCAATCATATCAATCAGTACTTACATTTATGCTAGTAAGTTCTTCTCTTTCTAATAATTACGATTTTGCGTATTTCAATTTTAAATTATGTTCATTCTTTTTTCGATATTGTTCATCTATTGATTAGTCACACTATCGTTATTTCAGGCGATATGCTATTTACTCTTTGTTAATATCAACAATTGATAAATAAATTTTGTACTGAAATTATTTTAATTAGTGCGACATATTTTTAATCATCAATAATATCATTTTGAGCAATTTTCTCATACTAACACTTTAGACTGTTCCACTTTTGAAACCGATCTGTCATCATCAGTTTTTTTCTTCATTTATCTAAATCAATATCTCAAGTCGTCATAATAAGTTTTTTTTGTTTATTGATCATAAAATGACATAGATGTCGAAAAAAAAGGTTGTTATAGATTATCATCCTAATGATAAATAAATTCACTATATTCTTATTTATCTAAACGACTTTATCGATATTGTAAGATAATTGAATGAATGCAAGATCTTAATTTGGCATGGATACGATGACGAATCATTTTCGTTTCGTGATATTCTCTAGTCAGTTAAAAGCATGCATCACTTACGTATGTCAAGCAGTATCAAGACTTTGTCGTTAATTATTTATTCAAACATTTAAATCATGTCAACGCATTAATTTGATACTGCTGTGGGTCAGGGTGGATGTGAAGAAATGACCCGCACCCACAAATGATTCAATGGACTTTCTTTGACAGCTTACTGAACAGCAACAGTTAAAAGTGGAGCAAGAAATTCGTTCGTATAGTGGGAATAAAATTGATTTTCTGAAAATAATCATCGAAAACCGATTAAATTCAACGAAATAATCTATTAAAACAGATTTTTCTAAGGTAATAATCAATTAAAGCCGATTTTTTTGGAAAAGAATCTGTAATATCAATTAATAATGTAATTAATTTTATTTGACTTGAAGAATAATCTGGTTAAATCTATTTTATTTAGAATAATCTAAATAATCGATTTCTATTCTAATTCCACTATCTTATTTTGAAGTAATTTAATTATGTAGAAGTTTTAACTTTACTATATATGGTTAACTTCCATTCAGTAACAACCTTATAGTTTGTAAATACGAGAAATCCAAATAAGCATGGAAAATTAAAGAGTTCATATTCGAATTTGGAGAAAACCGTCTATCTTCGATATGTCCGATTAAAATTCATGAACAGATACTATACATTACACATGTAAAAAAAAAGAGTCTAAAAAGAATCTGATTATGATTGTTGTTTTTTGTAATTAAAAATCGATTAAAATGGTACTATTTTCATAAAATTTATTGACATTTTTTAATGCACGCGTTTTTTTTAGAGTCTTGTCTGACTGGGTCTAAATTTAATGAG